ATGAAGATTGCAGTTGAACATTACTCATAATTGATATCAGAAGCGTGAAATTGTTATCAAAAATGTATTTTTCGAATTCGAAACGATGTTGTGCTTTAATGATTTGCGATCAATTTAATTATTTTGCATATTTCATTCCACATCACTGCGACCAATGGAAATTCGTCGTCAGCGGAAATTGTGACAACGAAATGTATTTGAAATATAGAAGAAAGCAAATGCATGGAGAGCACGTTGAACAGAATCGAGCAAACTTTTGATTTTCGGTCGTTGAATCTGATGAGTGGTTGAGCAAAGAATTAGGTCCAGCAGCTAAATGTTCCATTAGACTTCCCAGATCAGATTCACTTNTTGAGGACTGAAACGAGAAATCGTCTGTTGACACGATAGGAATATGTTGTGAACCTGAAACACTTGTAATGAGTGAATTTATGAATAGTTCTTTAGCATGCTGTAGTATTGTGCACTGGAAACAATAAATTCTTAGATGGAAGCGATTTGGAAACATTAAGAAGTGCTCCTTGATTATTTTGAGCGATTGATTGTATCGTTCAGCATGATGGTTATTGCTCACTCACCAACAGAAGCGCACTGAAATGAATCGAGAATGTCACGTATATCCTCTGTATCGCTAACAACTTCATTGAATGTTTGCGCGGTCAGCATTTCCTTGCTACCTAAAATAATTGTTGCTTTTTGTTTTCGTTCACGGCGATTGCCAAGAAATGAAGAGTCGGTTCGCTTCTGAATACCTCGACGAAGAATGCATGCTCGCACTGTTTCTTCCAGAAGACATTCCATCACAGCACACAAGTAAACAGCTACCTAAAACACAACTGAATTCCGTAATCGATCAGTTGAACTTCATTAAACTAAAAATCACTGGCTTTTTTTGGCGGAGAACGCTCATTGTATTTTTTCTTGAACCAAAACTACCCAACAATGAATGAATTCACTTAACTCATCACAGATGACGCGACTGATACGACTTTCGAGCATCCACTTATAGAAACGTCCTAAATTGAAGTGTAATCCAGCACGACGACTCAAACTAAGTTTCAGCGCTCCGGTACCACTCAACGCGTAGATAGAAGTTGCTTGAACGGCAGCCTTTATGCAACTTTCAGCAATACTTTCGTTCAATACCACCTGCAAAATGCTGCTTTTTTTTACACAGAAGTTTACGATGAAACAAGTGAAGCATTCGAAACGTTATGGCAAGAATGTTTGAAACGGTCAATCTAACAACTTTAACAGCCGTCTTGATGTCCAGCGGTGTGCATTTAGTGAACGGTATACTCAATCTTCGAATTTCGTTTGCCAGTCTACACAATGACTTATCCAAGAAAGCAGTTAATCTGAAATATCAGTGCTATAGAATTACAATCAGTTCGCAGATCAGCAGTGGAATAGTATTCGAAAAACACATACATATTTTAGTGAAAAATTTTTGCATGAGAAAAATGAAACTGCAAAAAGTGCAAGTTCCAGTTCAAGAAGATGTATATTTTGGTCGAAAAATATATCGCTTGATCAATTTTTTTTGGCTCAGGGTGCTTTCTGTATGAATTTTGACCTGTAGAATCCTGCTTGCCTCACCCTCCAAAATCAGTGGAATATTTTCATTGGTGAAACCAAAATAGCTTCTGTGAAAATTTATTGAAAAGAAAGGGTCAAAAAGTTGTGTCATTCGCTAGCCACCTCAGCTGGAACAGGTCTGACGCTGCGACCTTTCACAACATTAATTTAGACTAATTTGGTTTTTAAAAAAAATCGAAACAGTCGCTTCGACGTTACTGTATAATTGAAGTGGTATTACCTAGGAATTACGGTGATATTGATGAGATCTCCATATTCTTTACATCGTCCACGTTTTAAAGCATTAATAACGTCTTTCTCATCAAACGGTAGATGGCTTGTTCTAGAATGGACTCAGTGCTTTTGAAAACGACAATTTGGAATACATGAACAATGTTTCTTTCAGAATTTGATTAGGAAGAGGATACGGATGAATGGATTGATTCAAAAGATAAAAATTAGTACCTTGGAACAGTTGGTAGAGTTTTGTAATTAGTTACCGCAGCAGTATTGCTAGTTGAGCATGTGGCTTGTTGTGCTCGACGACGATCATCATCGTGTTCGTCCTCTTTGATTGTACTTCTTCGAACATTTGCACGACTCAAACGATCCTCTGATGAATTCTTTAGTGCACAACGTTCATTAACGATTTCCGATGATTTTTGCGCTCTCACTGCACCACTTCCTGTCGCAGCAGCACCACTAGCCACAGATTCACCATTTATCAGCACTACGGTCGGCTCATGCAATACCGTTACCGTACCTGTGGCTCCGCGTTGACTCTCATCTGAATTCTCCTCTGGAACACCAGTGAAAGTGCTTTCAATAATTAATTTCGAACATGAAAATTCAACGTTTCAAAGTTTTTGAATCGTTTTGTAACTGTTTCAGAAAGTCAACACGTTTGAAAAGCTTTATGACCGCTCTACTGATTGAATTGCCGTGAATGATTGTTTTCGCATTGTAATTCGGTCATTTATCTGGATTCCTGAATGACGATGATAATGGAAGCAAAGGATTGGTTGTGAGCAGACCGTTTTTCGAATTTATCCGGCCGTTAATCTCGATTCTATCATGATTCTTGGATGAGGATGATTTGATGAAGTAACGATCACGTTTAGAATTAGCATTTGATGTGGTGTGATTGTGAAATGCTGTAGCAGCCATATGAGTGCCTAATGATGAACTGAGATGTCGCGGCGCTGAACGATAACCACTATCGGTGGGCGATTTGCTGAGAAATGGTGACATATGTCGGGCATCGACTCGACTCACCGCAGCAAACATCGATGAACGTGCATCGTTCGCTGGAGAACGGCATACGGCCGGTGGAGAACGAGTTGAACTGTAACAAGAGAGTTCTTTATTCACTCGATACTTCTTATACACAAAAAGCATAAAATAGAACTAGTGAATGAGCGTACATTACGAGCGATTGGGGACGAGACTCGTCGATTGAGCTGATATTTGGAACACTCTGGTAGAGTTGTTTGATTTGTTCGAGACTACTGAATTCATTGATACGATGTAAATCATTTTGAGACGGTGACACTTTCGTTAGAACCATTTTACTTTTGCACTGCTTTTGTTGTTGTTGTTGTTGTTGTTGTTGTTGTTGTTGTTGTTGTTGCTGCTGCTGCTGCTGCTGCTGCTGCTGCTGCTGCAATTTACATGCACTAATATGAAAGTTTATTTGAAAGCTGTTTTGAGAATTCGTGATTGATTAGAAATACTGATGGATGCCTGCAGGAAACTGAGACATATGAATTTATTTCAGACGTTAATTGATACTGGCAAGCTTTGGTTGTTTTTATGGATGGAAATACGGATGAAAGTTGTTGGCGAAAAATATTTTCAATTATTAGAGATGGATAAAAAGTGAAAGTAACCTGATTCGACAGATTCGAAAGTGACGAGTTATGGGTATAGCTGTGAATGGATCGTTCAGTGCACGGATAATAAACAAGTTCGTCGTTTGCAACCACGAAACTTGAACTACTCTAAAAACTGGATCAATATCTCATTTGAGATGCTTTCAAAAACCGACAAATAAATGATCATATTTCTGAGATTATATAACATAAATTCCATGGGATAGTCCTCTCTCAGTGTTCTCTATTCATAAAAGATATTTCAATAATCACATTCAAAGCATACCGTTGACACATAATATTGAACCCATTTATAACTGTGCACCTTTTTGTCATTCTTTCACCCAAACACCTCTTGTTTATGAGGGAAGAGTGAAGGTGGATGCATAAATAGATAGATAGCATTGGCTGTTGCTTGAATAAGGCTAATCGGGAGGTGGTGAATGACACAAAAAATACTAGCATATAAAGATGAAATGAGGAAGAAATTTCCGAGTGAGTGCATATAAATTATTTGCATGCATTATAAAAAATTGGTCGGTGGTACTCTTGAAAATAGCATGTTGATGATGGCAGTAATGCGAGTGTATGATAAACGAATAAACTGATGGTGGGCGAGTGTATTCAGCTAGTATGATTCGAAATTTAAACACAAACTTTGTTCTTGAACGCTGAAGAGCAACCACTTGAGCTGTGCGAGAGGACTGACGGTCGAAGTGCTTTCAAGGCATGACTCAATTTCTCGGGCAGACTTTGCTCACTGTTTGTAGAGCATACTGATGAATGTTGATTATGATTATGATGATGATTACTGTTACTATTATGATTACTGTTGTTGTGCCTATTCAGTTTTTTCTCATTCATTCGTAAGCCCATTCTTGGAGTGACGTTCTGCAAGCAAGTCTTATTCATTATGTGGCTAAAATCAATTCACAATCAAAATTCATTCAATGAAAGGAAATTAAAATGAAGTTTTTTTGTTTACTGGTAGATTCACAAAAAATGTTTAAGAAAAACTGGTANGATTATGATTATGATGATTACTGTTACTATTATGATTAATGTTGTTGTGCCTATTCACTTTTTTCTCATTCATTCGTAAGCCCATTCTTGGAGTGACGTTCTGCAAGCAAGTCTGTTGTGGGTTATTCATTATGTGGCTAAAATCAATTCACAATCAAAATTCATTCAATGAAAGGAAATTAAAATGAA